GCAGATTAGCAAATGCAACGTCCACTATGGATTTAGAAAATCGAAAAATTAATAAGTGTAAAAAACTACTGTTTTACTGCTCGAAATGCTCTTATGTGTTTCGCTAATTGCTAACTCAACTCACACAATCAACATTATTTGCTCACAAACACCAAACCCAATCGTTCTAATTATTATAGGAAGTGTTCGGCAAGTTTGACTCTACACAGGATATAAGCAAGGAAATTCTCAGCCGGACACGATATTTGTGTGCCAAATATCTTGGCGGAGCATGGAACCGTATAAAATTCGATCAGTTCCGGATAAAACCTATTACGTGAGTATACTTTGGTCATTTCAAGTCTTGTTTCCAGCAGGCTTAACTCATACAATCAGAAGCAAAGAATTTCACGTTTGGCTTTTTTCAATCTTGGCATGGCAAATGTTCATGTGTAATATTGTTTAATGTCATCATTTAATGTAATCATGTCCAATCAATCGAGGCCTCCACCTTTCCCACGCTTGCGGTGGGAAAGTGATCATAAAGCATGTCCGCGAAGAGATGCAGAGTCCAAGCCAAGCGCGGGCGAGAGCGGAGATGATGTGCGCCCTATACTGCATTTGATAAGCCCGTATGTGCTCACTCTATATCAGATCTGGTATCAACTACCGTAGTCCGCGTGTTACTCTATCTTGGTCGAATGTTGAGTTGACTCTTATTGGCATCCGTTAAAAAGATTACTTGGACTTCGACTTTACAGACTCCGACGATGGCGAAATCGCCGAAACGTTAGCCAATGAAGAATTAATACAAATCTTGATCGCCGAAACAGTGTTACACATGAACAAAAGCAAAGCGCACTTTTACAGTGCCAAGGTTCATTCATCAAAGTATTTTTTGAGGAGGAGTCCATCTTGCAGCAGCGTATATGTACTGCTTTTCTGCTTTCATGAAAATCACTTTTAGTGGAGGAATGTCAAATTTGTTATTTCTGGTCGAATTAGGATCAGAAGTGAAGACCATTGGTTCCGAACCAACCCAAGCTCTTTTGCGAATTCAGTGTCAGGCAGACTTGGATCAACTGCTCAGCGAATCCGTCGTTTTTACTCTACTCTCAGGTAAGGAGTTTAATCCGTGTACGTTATCCCATGCTTTGCAAACGCTCTCTTTAGAGCGATCATTAGGCCCAAAATTGCTGGGAGTCTTCCCAGGTGGTCGCTTTGAGCAGTTCATTCCCAGTCGACCACTTCAGTGCAGTGAATTGAGTAAACCATCGTGAGTCAACGCATATTAAGGTTCTGTTCCGTATATGGCAAATTTAGTTTTATAGAATTGGAAAAATTGTGGCACCTATGCTAGCTAGAGTGCACACGTTGGATGTTCCAATAACGAAAGAACCTCAAGTTATGATGTGTGCCCGAGGTTGGTTGGCAAAGTTCAAAGAAAGCGATGCTGGCGCACATCCAGTTGATATCCGCTGCACGGCTGCGTCAGTCCCTTCGCAATGTGTATGTTCAAGAGATTTTGTTATAACACTAATTTCTGAGGTTTCTTACAGTACCCCTCCAAAATCACGTGTGAAGAACTGGAAGAAGAGTTGGACTTTGTTGAGGAGTTTCTTAGGAAAAGCCAAAGTCCTGTTGTTTTCTCACATAATGACTTACAGGTATGTTCTTTTGAACATAAAGTACTTCCAGCAATATTTTCACTTTAGGAAGGTAATATTCTTTTATGCGCCGATTATCACCTGAATGGAGATGGTTCTATACGATCTCGGTCTGGTGAAAATGATGTTGTCGACCCCTTAGTTTTGATTGATTTTGAATACTGCAGCTATAATTATAGGTAAGTTGTTGTAAATTATGGAATTAACTTAGCAAAGTAAGTTCTGACCACTGAACGGATCGAACGCCCAACCTTTCGATC